GATGAATAGTTCAAGGTCAAATGGGTTTTTCTAAGTCCATTGATATATTCTCAATCTAATTTTAAATCAACACAATTCAAAATCATTAACTCTAGCTATCCATTCTTACAGCCCTGCCCTCTTATCCAGCCCTTCTCTTGTCCAGCATCCACTGATGAAATTTTCTACTCTCCCAGACAGGGAACCTCTCATTATTGGCTTTGCCCTCCTATTTTTTTATGGGATTTTTAATGGGATTAAAAGAAAGGAAATAATTTTTTTACCAACCAGATAATATTTGTTTATAAGATTGTGGGAACGTTTGTAGAAAAAATTTTTTTTAACTTAACATGAAAAGATATTGGGAGCAATAGTATCTGTACATATACAACATCTATCCAGAAGGTATCCTGCCATGTAATATGATAAAGAGACATTTATTGAAGAAGATACAAAATACAAGAAACATTGTACACAGACAGTGGTGCCTCAGTCCCCCTCAAAGCAGGCACTTTGGGACCTCACACAGTTCTTTAAGTTGCCATCAGCTGCCCTGTTGTGTTTTCCTGAATCTCATCAACAGTCCGAAATCTCTTCCTTTTCAAAGGTGATTTTAATTTTAAGAAAAGGTAGAAGATGCAGGGCCTCAGATATGGGCTGTAGGGGGGCTGAGTCACCTGGGTAATTTGACGTTTTGCCAAAAAACTCTGCATGAGGCATTGGTAGGCGTGTTGTTGTGATGAAGCTGCCAATCACAGTTGCCCATAGCTATGGCCTTCTGAATTCCATGAATAGTTTCCATGGAGGAATGTTCAAGTGCAAAATTTGACACAGATTCATAGCTCTATTTGCTCCATCATTTTGAATGCAATGGCTACACAGTACACATGCTCACTCAGTGGTGTCTACTGCCCCACTGACTAGTACAGTGAAGTTGCCATTGTTCACATGTGCATATTTTAGTCCACTCTCCTTGGCTACCAGGTTACGTTTATGTCACATAAACAGTTCTCATTATATTAACAATGGCTGGACTTTTTTCAGACAGACCTTATATATAAGTCTGAAAATAAGCATGACCATTTATTGACTATATTTGAATTTACCAAAACTTCTGAGTCTCTAACTATGGCACTCAATTTTTTATTAATTGAAAATAGACCACTGTCTGTTCTCTTGGACATCAGTAGTTACCAATAGAGTTTGCCAGAGTTTGGAAAGCTGGGCTTCAGTCCACTATCATCGGCCACAACTTCAGTAGCTCTGTGCAATAATGCAGTTATAAAACACAACACATAACCATCCTATGAGCAGCAATATTAGAGGGAATTATCCTATAAAATTAGGAAATGGTACATGGTAATATCTCTATATCCAAAAATACATCACACCTTTTAGTGCATAGTATAACTGTTGCTCTTCATTTTAATTCTTTTGGTTTCGTGTATTTGCTCTGGTGTGTCTGGGACCTTGCATGAAATTTTCCTTCTGCGTGACATGTGTCCTCCTTCTATTCAGCGTCTTGGTCTGACTTGGTCTGTCTAGAGGACAAAGCTTACAAAAATAAATTCCTCAACTTTTAAATCCCTCACTTCATCCTCCATTACATATATCCAATGGCTACAACAGCACTCAGCACATGTGAGCTATTGACACATGCTTGTTAAGTAAATGAAAGCCGAGGTACCTTTTCTTCCCGTTATTCCTCATAGCACCTTGCGCTTACCTGTGCCAAATACCTTTTGCTCTGTATTCTAATAACTTGTGTATTTGTTGTCTCAGGATGAACTTCTTAAGGTAGGCCTTAGTTCTTGTTCACCAGTTTGTCTCCACACTAGCACAGCACGTGGCACCCCATAGGTGCCTAGTAATTATGGTGAAATAAAAAATGAGTGAAGTTTTATGAGTCCCTTGGATTCAGAAATGTCCTTGCCTTTCCCATCGAGCTCCCAATTTTTGGCAGGTTCTAGATACCTCAGGGACTTGTTAAGGAGGTGCTCTCCATATTAGGATTATTGTTCGGTTTCATTTGAAAAAAAGGTGGGGAGAAAGATCATTCTGATAGAAGGAGCTCATGGAAATTTCTTTGAAGGAAATTAATACCAGAAATCTTAGACGTGAAATGTTTGTGAATAAATGTACTCTCCATGCAAGTGAGAGTGAATGCATTTCTCTAAGGATTAATAAGAGATGAATAAAAAATACCTACTATTGAGAGAAGAAAGGCACGGTATTGTGAAAAAGGGCAGTAGGTTCAGGAGGGCGTGAGTCTAGTTCTACTTCTGTGTCCAGGGCGTCCCATCTCACTGTGAATGTGTCCTTAACTGCAACGGAACTAGGGGAATGACAGAGGCTTTGTCCCTACAGCCATGACCCCATGTCATATGTTAAGCAGTAATCCTATCAGCCTTTTTCTTTCTTTCCCTGAGTTTGTAGTATATTTTGTAATTCACATTGAAAACATTTTAATCTGGACCGTGGTTATATTTAGATTCATGATAAGTGAAACCACATTTCAGGAAATACCTTTTCTCCTCCCCCCCTTTTAAGGCATAGTTTCCATGTACGCTGCCCTTTCCCTCCTTCACGTGCCCCATCTGCCTCCCGTGTAGCCTCTTTCTTCTCTTTGTTTTTCAAGGGAAATTGCATTTGGATATTTTTGATTCATTTCCAGGTGATTACCAAAGTATTATGTTGTTAGGATGACTTGTTATTTAAAATGTCAATTCTTTAAAACTATGAAAAGGATGACTGAAGTTGATAGCTTTGTGTTTGGAAAGGATTTTATTTCATTAGCACCCCCAGCTGGGGAAGCAGGAAAGGTCAGCCTTCCTGCGGTCAAGTGTTGGAAGGTAGGTAGGCATATCGAATCAAGCCTCTTGATTGGGGCCATCCCTTCTGACCCTAATACTTAGAGATCCTGAGGCCTTGTTCTTGGCCTTGCCCGCTTGGCCCTGTGCCAAGTGTGTAATCCTGTCTGCAAAGTGTTTGTTTCCTCTGTATTTTTCTCCTAGTCTTTTACTCCACGTTCCTCATTCATCAGTGCTACCCCGTGTCAGTGATTTATGAGTGGCAGTTACAGCCAAACATCGGCCTGTGTGGCCATTGAAAGGAATGATGTGTGAGTTGCTCCTTTTCTATAGGGCAGATTTGAAGAGGACCTGCGTGGCACTGTGGGAAGAGGCAAGCCTGAGAGGAGACCCTATAAATCACATCGTGTTTTAGTTGTATTTGATCATCAAGGAAAAGTCCTAGTCATCACCTGGTCTTACAATGAAACTGCAAGTGTCCAGACGATTGGGGAAATCCATTTTACTCCAGCTCTGAGGAAGCAAATTACCCTCTTTGGGGGAGCAGCCATGGCCTGCTCTCAGCATCTCACAGCTAGCCCTTGGGTGTCCAAAGGCCAGCCACCCGGGCTGCAGAAGTTGACTCCTCCAGAGAGCAGATCTGTAACAACAAGCAGCTTGTCACCTGGTCCTCTTAGACACCCAGGCAAAGGGGAGGGATTATTAAGACAAAGGACTAGTCTGTCACAAGGGAGAGCCAAGTTGGAAGAACCTACAGCATTCCTTCTAGACTAGTTTTCCAAATGAGCGGAGGTAGTGTAGCAAATTCAATCATAAAAAAACAGTTTTTCTGAAATAAGTTTCCAACCTTGCCTAATGCTTTGAGTTAATTTCTTCAGTTAGGGAGATTTTTATGGATTTGATTTTTCTAGTAGTTTATTTCTTAGTTTAAGTAAATATAACTGTCATCTCTTTCATTATCTTATCCATTGACCATCCTAGGAGCTTGGAGCTTGTGGAAACATCTAAAATGCAGCATATTAATTTTTTTGCTATTGGAAACCATTATTTGGAAGAAAATATATTACCCTATCTAAGTTTTTAGGAATGCCAGTACTTTATTCTTTGCTTAATTTTTGTTTTGAAATGAGCATGCTTTTTTTTAACCCTCTCAAAGTACTTTGTAGTATACATCACTTTTTTTTAACTAAAGTAAATTTAGTTTTTTATGTTTTAAATTTTTTATTTCCATAAGGTAAAGGAGGGTTAGAGTGAAGTTCAGTCCCAGAAACACCCTGTTTAGCTTCCTGACTTCACGCTCCACTCAGCACATCTCATCATCCTTCAATACATGTATTAAATTGGCCTGAGCCTGGCTTACTTCAAGTTGTACTGAAAAACCAAATCAATATATGTAAAAGTTCTTGAAAATAAAAAAAGAGGAAACTTGAAGCATTAGAAACAAATGTAAGCTTATTCGCATTTATTTAGTTATCTTTTAAACACATATGGTGTTCTAGAATTTATCATTTTTACAGTATTTCAGAATTTATTTCCAAATGTCTCTGGCATATAGGATAAAAAGATAATTTACCCAAGCTAACAAGTTGTTTGACAATTTTGCCTGCCAGTGTTTGTATGAGTTTGTGATATATGTTTAATGTTTTAAATTTCAGTGATTTAAACCTCAGTGATGACTAGTGTTCAATGAAGTGCTAGTAAAAGGCACAAATAATGGAGAATTAACTAATAACATATAAGTAAGGTGAGAAAGACTTTATATAAACATTTGGTAAAGGCAGGTTAATGACCTGTGCTCTTTTCATAAAATAGTCTTAAAACTATGTATTAGATCCTCACACACAATTATTGAATATAGAACCAGTGAGTTTTATTCTTAATCTTATTATGAAAACACAGTTACAAAATTAATAACAAAATTTTGTACTACTCAGTTAGCATTCCGACCTAAAATTTAGTTAGCTACTCTAGGCAGTTGTATGTTTATGTCACCTAAAATTACTTAAAAGTTATACTGTCGCCTTGAAAAAATATTATTTCCTTCACAGAAAGTGGCCAGTCTGATCATCTTACAAGCATCGGCTGAGATGCTGGGGAAGTAGTACAGTTTGGGTGTTGCTCCTGGGTTTTGCTCTTCTCCATGACTCGCTTCTTTGATTCTTTCTTCTCCTTCTCCTGACCTTGTCAACCTCTCTTCCTCTTTGCCTCTAGGGAGAAGCCCCCAGTGGAGGACAGTCATTGAAAAACTACATGGAAGAAGTGAGTTTTGAGGTGGCCTTGGGACATAGTCTGAAAACAGTCTACCTATCAGATAGGATGAAGCCCTCACACGGGCTTTCTCCAACTGCCTGTAGGGTTTCCAGCCTCTGCCCACTCATGGGGCACACACACACACACACAAACAAGACAAGTACTGTTATCAAAATTGCTTTTGTTCCTCATTGCTAGGGAGATACTGTATATCAGTGCATCCTGAAAAGGAAGGTAAAACTGCACAAACCTAGTGCCATCATATACTTTCAGTCACAAGAATTTGCTAATATCCTGGTAAATGAGAAACATTATGTTATATATTGGCCATCCCCTTCAAAATAAAACATGATCATTTCTTCCATGATGAGAACAATCTATACCAAATAGTCATTTATTTGTGTGACAAATGCTTATCCAGACTGTTATTTGGGCAATCTGTTTAGCAAAGTGCTGTCTTAACCATGAAGACATACAGGTGATTTTTGTTGAAAAATTATTTAGACTTCTTGATTCGTTTGGGAGAAGCCCGAGGGTGCTCTGGATCACATGATGTGTTTGGGGGCAGGCTACGAATGGTGTTTGGGAACTTTCAAGTAAACCAGTGTCTAGAATCTGTGACACTTGATCTGACATCTAGCCATAGTGGTCACTGCATTAGCCATCTGAATCCCTACAGGTGAAGGGACCTGGGAGACAGCTGGGTAATGAGGTCATAGAAGTACCAAATATTAGATTCGAATTCTGCTTCTTAGCCAGAAAGTCTGTTTCTCTAAATATTCTATTCTTGCATGCACAAATTCTTTCAAAGACAATTTTGAATGCCCTACTGAGTGTACCACAAGGGAAGAACCCCCCCAAAACAGAATTATCTTCTGATGAGTGGGCCCCTTGCAGTATAGGCTTCCCCAGCTAGGTGAGTGTTCTAGGAACCCATGTGTATCAGTGTATGAGCTGGTGGTGTCGTGAGAGGCTGCAATCGGTTTCAGTGAATTTTTTTTTGAAGACTCCTTCAATATGTTTGCCCATTTCATGATGGGGGATTTACGAGTGCACCCACCCACACTGTGCAGAGTGTTAAGCAGTTTTTGACCCAAAACAGCATGACCCATGTGCCCCACCCTCCCTGTTCACCAGATCTTGCCCTGGGCAACTTTTTTCTTTGTTTCTCTGATGAAAAAAAGTCCTCAAAGGGAAATGTTTTGCTGATGGGGAAGAGGTGAAACAAAACAAGGCAGAAGCACTAAAAGGCATCAAAATTCCCAAGTTCAAAAACTACTTAGAGCAGTGAGAAAACTGTCTTGATAAGTGTATGACATCAAATGGAGAGTACTTTGAAGGTGACTGAAGTTTAAACATGTAAGAATAAATATACATTTTTTATAAATAAATAAATTCCATTTTTTGTGGTTCCCCCTTGTATGTAGTTCATTCATTTATTCAGACCACTGAACCCATACATAAACTCCTTTTTACTTCCAGATCTCTGGAGAGGAAAACCAGAGTATATAACCCCCCTTTAAGTCTCTAACATCCTGGTTTTCATTCTCATTTGGAGGCGGCTGGCGTTTTTTGAAAGGTACATGGAGAAGGGGCAACAAAGACAAAAAAGGACATAACCAGGTAGATGTTCTGAGCTCAGGTTAGAAAAATCAAAATATATGGGGCACAAAAATGGAAGGTTGGAGCTCCAAGTTTAAATTTCAACTTAAGAATTGGATACAGAAATGAATAGAGCACATTAAGCAATAAATGTCGCCAGGGCGAGGCAGACACTATTTTTGATGTGTACACTAATAGGATCTCCCTTTAAGATTCTGTGGTTGCCCAAGTGCTTGACTCAGCATTCCCCACAGGCTGGTAGGGTCTTGGCGGGTAGACCACCACCACAGGAAGGGTGCCTGATACCCCTTGTAACGCGTGGTGTAGAGGCCTATCGCTGTGCAGTAAGGGGGACATTGTGGTGCTGATATAGGAAATGGGCTGCATACAGGAGAGAAAACTTTCAAAGTGTCTTATTCTAACTCTGTCGTTCTCATCCTACAAAGATCCTTCTGTCTCCATCATTACAAATGTGCATGTAAACATACATGTCATATGTAATTGTAAGTGCTGAAAGTGATGAAAAGGCTGAGAACGTGTCCCTGCTCAGTGTGGTCCTCTGACTAGTAACATCATCATCATCACCTGGGGGCTTGTAAAAAATTGCAAAACCTGCGTTCTAACAAGATCCCCACGTGATTCATAAACACCCTAAAGCTTGTGGGCACAGCCCTAAAGTGTTTTTTCCAATGTTATTTCTGGAGAGTAACTTCATACATCATGGAAAATCACCAATTTTATATAATACAGGTAGAGGAAAATTTTATTAATAAAGTTAAGAGTTTTTGTTTATTCATCTACTCTGAGGAATAATGATTTTGGTTGAGTAGAGGTATAAAATGTCTGTAGCTTACGAGATTCATTACGGACTTTCAGTTTGAATTTACAAGTGTGTGCAAACTGCCCAAGGTAAGCCTTGCCTTTCTTGGGGGTTCAGTTTCACATAGTAATTTTTATCTAATGTTGGTTGGTGTTTAGCTTTTAGCTCTTATAAAAATCAGTGTGCTTATCCTTTATAGTCAAATTGTAAGTTTGATCTTAATTAGAGAACTGTTCACTTATTGATAGTTTTCCTGGTTTGTTGTTTGTTTGTTTTTTTGCAGACAATCATTGGGTCTTTGAGAAATATACTCAAACTCTTCTTTATTGTGAACAAGTCAAAAATGATAGCTTTTGTTTTTTTCTCATGTACACTCTTATTTCACTTTTGCCCTCTTTGTTCATATTCCTAGAATTGGCAAACAATAAAAACCAGTATTTATATATGTTAGAAACATTGAAGTTAAAGCTCAGCTAGCAAACATTTACTCTTATTTAGTACACACTAAAACTCATATAAACCATAGTGTTTACACTTTTAATATATTTAACATTTCTTGCTAAGTTTGAACAACTCTACAAATCAAAGTCTCTGGGGTTTTTTATTTATTTACTCATAATTAGACAGAATTATTACCACGTGAAGTCAGACAGTTCTGTTTAGACCTAACTCATAATTAAAGATACAATATGGTCTCAAAAAGTAGTGCTAAAGTGGAATTTCTAGTCTGTATTTTATATTGTTTAATGGATTATTTTTGCAGAATAGAATTTATATTTTTGACCAAATTTAAAAAACAAGAAGATATTTTGTAATAGTCTACTTTTCCTAATCTTCAAAGTGGCTCTGAAAGTTTAAAAAAATACATATTCTTTTATAAGGCACTTAATAACTCAAGGGAGAAATAATAATTTCACACTACAAAAATTTTAGTTTTGGGAATCATAATATCAACATTCGTTATGTGTGTGTGTGTGTGTGTGTGTGTGTGTGTGTAAAATTTAAAATAAATTGTCAAAATCAAATACTTCCAAAGCTAGGCCTTTTGTAGAGAAGCTAGTCTATTTAAAATATCATATTTCCTAGATTAATAAAAGGGAAGCAGCATAGTCTGCTAGTTAAAAATCCCCTCATTATTGGAGAAATGTGTTAAACATTTACAAACCAGGTAAGTGCTGTAAAATGAAATCTTTGAGAAGCTCTGAAGAACTGAAGACTGAAGTTTATGATTTTTAAAACTTTTTAAAGAACAACTGAGAGCAGTTCTTCACAAACTCAGGAAGTTATTGGTGGAGGCAACGTTCAGAGGGGTGTGAACTAGCTCAGGGTGTCAGGTGACAGTTTCACTGTCTCTGAGGGTGTCAGACGGGAAAGGAAGCCTGTTAAACAGCAGACCTTTTTCAAATCTGTCGAGGTTGGTTTTGCCAGCTGCACCATCTGAACTGGAAAGGGGATCAGTTCTGTGCGACAAAATGTATTAGAATCACCTATCCTGCCAATTTTGTCTGGTTTTTTTTCCTATGTTGTATTCTGTGGTTGTTAATGCAATGAAGTTCTAACTATACTTCTGAAGGAGCGTGCATGACATTATTCTCCTAAGTTAATAAGAGATAATTGACTTTTCATCAAGCACAGGGATTTACTTTTTAAAAATTGAAATAACCATTATTCACTATCATAGTTTTATTCCACTTAGGAAACTAAGAAACAGGGATTTTTTTTTAAAGTAACTCTAATTTGTCATTGATATTCATTAAGAATTGATACATGTTAAAGGATAACAATTTTTTAAAATTTATAATCATGTCTCTCAGAGAGAGATAAAATGAACACATTAAAGATTTATTCAACTCATTAGTTAATGAGGAACCAGTAAGATGTTACAACCAGTCCAAAGAAGATTTCAAACTTTCACAAATATAGTTAAATAAGAAATGTTGAAGTACAGTTATAAATAAGTTCAAAAATTGGCAAAACTGATTAATATCAATAGGATATTAACTGCATTTAAATAAGCACCATTTGCATTTATGTAGACAAGAATTTTTTTTCCTACTATAAATATTTATAAAGTACATATTTGTAAAATAAATCAAAGTCAGTGAATGACTCAGAACCTCCATCAAATCAGATAAATGGAAGGGCACTCTGGAAAATTTGTTACTGGTTCCAAATCCACGTGTCTGATGCTCTGAAAGAGCAAAACTCAAAACATCAAGAGTTTGGAGTAGGGAAAGGTTTATTGATTGAGAAGTTGCCAATCAAGAATTTTAGGATGCTAGCAGTTTCTGAAATTCATCTTAACAAAGTTCAGAATTCTGATTTCTTTTATGTCAAAGAAGGAAAAACAAGAGGGGTTGTTTTTGTAGAAACTAAAGCCCCAAGCAGAATTTCTCTGACGATTGCATGTCTAAAGCAGTAGCTACCAGCCTGAAGACCATTGGAATGAAGGAGGCCTGAACAAGATGGAGTCAGAGATATTCAGTGAGCATTTCACTGTTTTACAAAATGACTTAGTTTTCGGTGACTACGATACAGCCAGTAGTGTCTCATTCATTTCAAAGCTTTTCATCACTTTATCCCACAA